AAAAACACTTTGAAACAGCACCGTATTCTGAAGAAGACTGACTGTAAGCGATCATCGGTGCAACCGACTTTTGTTCCTGATATGCATTATGCAACAACTGTCTGAATCATCGATCTTATGATGCAACGGTTGACGGGTAATGAAAACGGCAACAAAAGATATAATCGTACAGTCATCACAGTAAAACGCATGTTTCGCTGTAGAAATTTTTAGTCTGTTGTTTTGCATTTCAGGCAGAGATGTGTTGTCTTTTACGATGAAGGGCGTGATCTTCCGACCTGAAGACAAGGAAAACAAACCTAGAACTGTATACACTATGCTGAATACAGAAAATCGGCATACAGTGGAAAAATTCTAAATTTTCGTACTCATAACCCGGTTTGGTTTAAACGTTATACTTAAGGAATGCAAGGTCAGGCGATGATTTTACTGCACTTGAACGAGATCAACTTTCCTTTTAACGAATTGAAGGAAAAGAACAACCCGGAAAATTTCAGTTTAGCAAGTTATCTGGAAGCTGAATAGTACCTATAGTCAGCATAATAACAGCGCCTAACAAACCCTCATAAACACTTCTTTTAGTCATTTTCTATTTAATGAACGTTATTGAACAACGCAGCGCAATACACAATAAAACTATATACAGATGTCAGACGGACTTGACTAAAACTGATTATATAATTACAATGGAGAATCCATTAAACAAACTGGTATAATTTTAGTACCCGTCTGTCAAACCAGAAACAAGTTTTCAACCAGTTGTACCATATCTGCGATCGTCCATGCTTGTTTGTTCGTGATCCTGTTCTACTGTGCCTTCACAGTGTAACTAGTAATACTGTAGCTAATGATCTTTGTTTCTTGATCAATGAATCATGGAAATAATAAAAAAAAATGACGAAGAAAAATGTCGTTTATTTCGAACTTCGTGCTCTAGTTGCTTTTCATCGCGTTTATCGGGACCGATAAAAGCGCATCCTTCGTAATTACAATATCCTTTCATTCTTGTATACGTTTGATTTTTGGTGACAGTCATATCGTCATCGTTTTCACCCCGAAAATATTGCTAAATATTTAAAACTGACTTATTATTTACTTTCTTAGCATTCCGCTGCATTTTGAAACAGCAAATCCTGATGGACGTCTAATGAACATTGTGTTCGTTGTCCTATCTATACAGTTGCCATGCAAATAAGCCACAAGTGGAGTAACTTAAAGTGCGATACCATTTATATATTCAACGTCCGTTAAGAGTATTGAGTTGAGTTGTACTTGCAGCTGTTCAGCCAACCGATTACAGGACAATAAACAAAGAAAGGCTGAAGTTAGCGTGCTTCGCTAATGCGATGAATAAAGAAAAACCTTCGAGATATAATTAAATAACGTCTTGCGAAATACTGTCCGAAACTCAGCAGTAATTACGCAGTAGAAGCAAAAAACATGCAAAGTTTAAAGTAACTCAATCAAAACAGCTTTATTTTGGTAACTGCCATTGGCTTAAGGTAACGCTTAATCGGCAAGGAATTCATAACTGGAAATTATGTAAAATAATATAAATTTTGCAGACCAATGTTTTGACACCGCATTTCAGTACGATTAACAGCGGAGACGATAAACTAAAATTTACAGAACATCAAATTAAATGCAAAGCTTTTCCCCAAGCATGATAGTGCAGCCGATTTAATATGAGAATCGCTTTCACCTCCAGTGGTAACATTAAATGTAAGTTGAGAAAGAAGTAACCCTGTTCAAGAAATTAGCCTGCACCTTGGCTACTTCAGGTCAGCATTACTGTACGGTACGCAGAACGTCGTTCTAACCAGTGACCGAAAACAATCGTTGAACGGCGTCCTTCAGAGTTGGTTTCGATGTGCAACGAGGGCAACTTATGATAGGATCACGTATGAAACAAATCTATTCACTTCTGGGTGAGGACCTAAAGAGATTGAGAAATGAAGTTTGCGTTGTTTATAGTGGTTGAGAATAAACTCTTTAACGAGCATCTCATATGGGAAAAGAAAAGCAGCACACATCGATAACGATAAAGAGAATACAATATGGATGAACAAAATAGAAGATAGAACCAAATCTGTATTTCGACATGAAAAAGTCGTTCTACGATGCGGCACAAACTGTTTAATGGAAAGCTGAGAATGCAGCGGATACCAAAAACCAGAGACTTCCGCTAACGCAAAGTGACTGAATTAAATTGAAATTAACTGAACTATCATTGCCTTCATTTTTGCCAGCTCTGTACAAGTGATTATGAACGCCGTAAACGTTGTTAAATTGTGTCTGGTTTGAAACTGTGGTGAATATATCGGCAGATGGGTGATTGATCCATCGCGCGTTGTACCCCTTTTGGAACAACGTACTACTGACAAATCCAGCTTTCACTGCGTTTACGCATGACTCTTAAGCGAACAATCTGTAGTTTCCTTTCAGAGATGCTGAAACTGGAATCAGGTTCGGAAGTTTTCACGATTTCAACAACCGGTTCGTGGCAATTTGTGGCACTTAAAACAACCGCCTGCCAAATTCGCACAGCTGCAGAGTATACAAACTCGTCAACTACGGCGCAACCATGATGAGTTTCCGATGTTGATGGCCTCCTGTGTTCAAAGGGAGATATACTTCCCGAAATTAATTACTTACATCTTCAATTTTCATGTTCTAAAAATAGACTCTGAATTAACGTGCGGTTTTTCTATTTGGAAAGAATCATAACGTCGGTTTTCTGCATAAACCAGCTAAAATCTAAATATCTATTTTCACAACGTTGCAAGGCGATTGATGACGCCAATGTTCCTTGAATATCAGCATGCTTCTTATGTCGTTAATGGTAAATCAAAACTGCGCTATGCTTTTTACTGCGGCTATCGTCACAGTGAATATCAAGTCTAGAGTTAAGGAATAATGGTAAATCAGCTATAAGATTATACTTGACCACAGAGCAATAACCCATTAATATGTCAGCTAAATGCACCAATGCTCACAAAATATGATTTCGCAAGAACCAGAATCGGCAATA